TTAGCCCCCCCTATTTTTTTGAAATTCAGTAAAAGCTAAGGTCTCAGAAACGTATACTATTTATTTGTCACTTACCTGTATCATTCTGTCATTAAGTCTTTTACTGGGATGTGTGGTTATTTTACTTTGCTAAGCCCAACATTGTCAGCAGAGGGCACTCTATGCATTACACTGAGCATCAGTAGCTAACGCGAGTAGAGCAGAAGAAAGCCGTCAGTACGTGATGAGCGAAGTGTAATAGGAACAGAGAGTGCTTCTGACCCGACTTGTATTTTCATATATTTACAGGTAAACGGACTTTAAACAGAAACATGTTGATATAAAATCTGTACTTACTTGAGAAGCCTTATGGTGCGTTCACACCAAACGCGGTGCAAATTATTCGCGAGAGTAGATTACATACAAAGTCTATTGTCACGACCTGGCTCCGACAGCCATGACCCAATCATGGAGACGCAGACAGTTTGCCAAACAGCACAGAGTTTATTAAACATAAACAATAGGTCCAACGTCAAATGGTGGCTCGACCGAGCCGTTCTCGTTCCTCCACGGGGTGATGGGAGAGAGGCGCCAGGTTGCCAGGAAGGCAGAGCCTTATAGGGGAAGCGCACCAGGCCCAGGTGCCTCCACTTAGGCGATCACCACCTCTGGTACCTGCTGTCTTAAAGGAACATACATAAGTAACCCAGATAGGGAACCGTCACACCCCCCTCCATAAGAACTGGGTCCTGCAAGGAATCCCAGTATCAAAACAAAACTTATGTATGACACTTTCAGCAAAAAAAACTCAAAAATACCAAAGATTGGCTGAAAAAATTCCCCAAAAAAATACTTTATCAAATGTTCTCGTTTGAGAACAAAATGTTCTCCGCGAATCGCCACCCTCCTCCGCGAATCGCCACCTTAACGTGGTGGAGGAGTTTGAGTGGCTCAGTGATCCTGGCAGCTATGTTGTCCGGGGCATTAGCCCCTGGTAGGGTCTCCCAAGGCAAACAGGTCTCGGGGGAGAGCCCAGACTAAGAGCGGTTCAAACGACCCTAATGATAAGCAGCCCACGGACTTTAGCCACCTCGCCCGGACCAGGGAAACTGGGGCACCCTCCCGGAGCCAGACCCAGGAGGGGAGCTCTTCGGTGAGCATCTAGTGGCCGGGCCTTCGCCCATGGGGCCCGGTAGGGCTCAGCCCGAATAAACAGCATGGAGCAACCACCCTGTGGACCCACCACCCGCAGGGACTATCATCGGGGTCGGGTGCAATGTAGACCAGGCCGCGGGTCAGGCGGGAGGCCTGGGCGAGCCGATCGCCGGCAGCATAGACTAGATCTAGGGACGTGGAACGTCACCTCGCTAGCGGGGAAAGAGCCAGAGCTGGTGCAGGGGGTGGAGCGATACCAGCTAGATATCTAGATATATCTGGAACCAAGCTCCTGGAGAGAGGTGGGACTTTGTCCTTTTCCGGAGTTGCCCAGGGTGAGAGGCGCCGGGCGGGAGTGGGGATACTCACGAGCCCCCGGCTGAGCACCGCTGTGTTGGAGTTCTCCCCGGAGAACGAGAGGGTCGCCTCCATGCGCCTACGGGTTGTGGGGAGCAAGGCTCTGACTGTGGTTTGTGCTTACGCACCAAACAGCAGTTCAGAGTATCCGGCCTTCTTGGAGTCGGTGGGAGGGGTCCTGGAAAGGGCGCCACCTACCGACTCCATAGTTCTCCTGGGGGACTTCAATGCTCACGTGGGCAATGATGGAGAAACCTGGCGGGGGGTGATTGGGAGGAACGGCTTGCCCGATCTGAACCCGAATGGTGTCTCGTTATTGGACTTCTGTGCTTGCCACGGTTTGGCCATAACCAACACTATGTTCGAACATAAGGTGGCTCATAAGTGTACCTGGTACCAGAACACCTTAGGCCGGAGATCAATGATCGACTTTGTAATTGTATCATTTGATTTGGGGCCGTATGTCTTGGACACTCGGGTGAAGAGAGGAGCAGAGCTGTCAACTGAACACCACCTGGTGGTGAGTTGGATCAGATGGCAGGGGAACCGGTTGGAAAGACCCGGCAAGCCCAAACGTGTAGTGAGGGTGAACTGGGAACGTCTGGCAGAGGACCCTGTCCGGGAGGTCTTTAACTCCCACCTCTGGAAGAACTTCTCTCACATCCCGAGGGAGGTTGGGGACATGGAATCCGAATGGACCATGTTCAAAGCCTCTATTGTGGACGCGGCCGCTAGGAGCTGTGGCCGGAAGGTCATCGGTCCCTGTCGTGGCGGCAACCCGAGAACCCGGTGGTGGACACCGGAGGTGAGGGAAGCCGTCAAGCTGAAGAAGAAGACCTTCAAGGCCTGGTTGGCCCAGGGGTCTCCCGAAGCAGCTGACAGGTACCGGCAGGCCAGAAGGGCTGCAGCTGCGGTGGTTGCGAATGCTAAAACTCGGGCATGGGAGGAGTTTGGGGAGGCCATGGAGAAGGACTTTCGGTTGGCCTCAAGGAGGTTCTGGCAAACATCCGACGGCTCAGGAAGGGAAAGCAGGGCTTACCCCAGGCTGTTCTCAGCAGGGGGGGAACTGCTGACCCGGACAGGGGACATCGTCGGGCGGTGGAAAGAGCACTTTGAGGAACTCCTAAACCCGACCAACATGTCCTCTGCAGAGGAGGCAGCGCCTGAAGATCTAGGGGGAGGCTCACCCATATCCCTGGCAGAGGCCGCTGAGGTAGTCAAAAAGCTCCTTGGTGGCAAGGCGCCGGGGGTGGATGAGATCCGCCCTGAGATGCTGAAAGCGCTGGACATAGTTGGGCTGTCCTGGCTGACATGCCTCTTCAATGTCGCATGGGGGTCGGGATCAGTGCCCATGGACTGGCAGACCGGGGTGGTGGTTCCCATTTTCAAAAAGGGGGACCGGAGAGTGTGCTCGAATTACCGGGGTATCACACTACTCAGCCTCCCGGGGAAGGCTTATGCCAGGGTGGTGGAAAGGAGGCTCCGACCGTTTGTCGAACCTCAGATACAAGAGGAGCAATGCGGTGGGTGTTGGCCTCCGCCAGGGCTGCCCTTTGTCTCCGGTCCTGTTCGTGACTTTCATGGACAGGATATCTAGGCACAGCCTGGGGGTGGAGAACATCAGGTTCGGGGGTCTCGGGATCGCCTCTCTGCTGTTTGCAGATGATGTGGTCCTGTTAGCCTCCTCGGATCATGACCTCCAGCATTCACTGGGGCGGTTTGCAGCCGAGTGTGAAGCGGTGGGGATGAGAGTTAGCACCTCCAAATCTGAGGCCATGGTGCTCTGCCGGAAACCGGTGGATTGCTCCCTCCAGGTGGGGACGGAGTGCCTACTTCAAGCGAAAGAGTTCAAGTATCTTGGGGTCTTGTTCACGAGTGAGGGTAAGATGGAGCGGGAGATCGACAGACGGATCGGTGCAGCTGCAGCAGTAAAGCAGGCGCTGCACCGGACCGTCTTGGTGAAGAGGGAGCTGAGCCGGAAGTCAAAGCTCTCAATTTACCACTCGGTTTACGTTCCTACCCTCACCTATGGTCACGAACTCTGGGTCGTGACCGAAAGGACAAGGTCGCGGCTACAAGCGTCCGAAATGAGCTTCCTCCGTAGGGTGGCCGGGCTCAGCCTTAGAGATAGGGTAAGGAGCTTGGTCATCAGGAGGGAGCTTGGAGTCGAGCCGCTACTCCTTCACGTCGAAAGGAGTCAGCTGAGGTGGTTCGGGCATCTAATTAGGATGCCTCCTGGACGCCTCCCACTGGAGGTTTTCCAGGCACGTCCAACTGGGAAGAGACCCCGGGGAAGACCCAGAACACGCTGGAGGGATTACATCTCCCAGCTGGCCTGGGAACGCCTTGGGATCCCCCAGAATGAGCTGGAACATGTTGCCGGTGAGAGGGAAGTCTGGGTCAGCCTGCTTGGCCTGTTGCCACCGCGACCCGACCCCGGATAAGCGGAGGAAAATGGATGGATGGATTAAACACAACAGTCACAGAAGCAGCTCTTTGGCAGGTTACCCTACATTTGACATGGTAATGTATTGTGAATACATTGAAGACTACTTTAAACGTGACTTTACAACAGATAAAATACTTCACGTGGGATTGCGCAAACGCACACTTGAAAGGATTTTAAGCTTTGAACAAAGTTAATGTAATAACTTGTGTTTGATGATATTTGAAATATGTGATATGTTATTTTCTTTAAAAGTTTGATCTTTGACAGAGTAATGGGGGTTTCTTAACCCTAAATTAAAAGGATTTAAGTTATAACAGAAATGTGCATAAATATATTTTTACACTTGAATAAACAATAATCAAATGCAGACAGTTATTTACCAATATGTTTGGAGTAGTTACATTTACACAGTCTTACATTTACAACCGGCCCTTTGAGGGTCGCCATGATGCTGATGTGGCCCAGAGTGAAAATGAGTTTGACACCCCTGGTGTAAAGGAACAAGCCAGTAGAGCAGAACGCCATCAGTACGTGATGAGCGAAGTGTAATTGGAACAGAGAGCACTTCTGACCTGACTTGTATTTTCATATATTTACAAGAAATTAAATCTGTTGCACCAGAGTGAGTTTCGTGTCATTCTTGGTCCTGTAACAGCAGCACACAGAACTGTCTGCTATCCTACACCCTCTTCAGCAAGCAGCATTGGAGAGACAGGGCCACTGTTTATAGACTTAGGGTTACAACTGACCCTTAAAGACAATTCATCAGAAGCAAGCAGAGAACGGGTGGTGTGAAAGGACGACAGAGGGGTTACACTATTGGAAATGTATGTTGTGTGTTTAATTTTTGATGCAACAGAGATTTCTCAATTCAATATATCATAATTTACACCCATATTGTAATGTAATTTCAGATTTGTTAATGTTTCTGTAGAGAATCAATGTCTTCAGACCATTTATGATGAATTCAGCTGAACCTATACAGACTTTCATTTCATTTTTCCGACAGCGGTCCTGAAATTGATACATTTTTTCCTTTTGAAATTGGGATTTTACTCACGTCATAACCAGAGTCTCATCTCCTGGCTCACTCAGGAGTCCATCGACAAACACGGAGGTGCTGGTGAAGTTGTGAATGGTCCACGTCCGGCCTTCATCGATACTAAACCTGTGGAGAAATAGGCAGTGTTCACAATCAATACATTGATGAAAGTCTCTTCAGTTGGAGGTTCCATTGTTTATAAAAGAGTAGAGTTAGTAAGAACACACTCCCAGTGAATTTACCAATTACTAAACCACACCCCTTGTCAATTAAAACCTTAAAAGTATTTGGAGCAGGGTGTTTGTTTTATAACCTTTACAAAACTAAAACCAGTGAAATAATAAATAAATTCAACAATGTGTTCACCTGCTGTTGCATATTCTGCAACAGTTAGCATGTCTGGCATACTACTACAGTGGTAACCCAGCGTTACTTCTACAACCAAAGAGCACATTATTAACTTATATTATTTCTGGGGTTTTATTTCCCCACTGTGTGGAAACCGGTCCTGGATTTCTTCATTGAATTTGGGGATCAGGTCAATGTTACCTAGGTAAGGATTGCAATAGACATAGTGTCATACTGGAACAGCAATCTTACTTGAGTATCTTGAGGGGAATAGAGGTGTCCTTGATGGCAACAATGACCCCACCGTGGTCCAGGTACAGGATGTGATGCTCCTCCTCGAAAACCTTAAAAGAAGTGACAAAAGAATGGTGGTGGGGGGTAAATTAAATGGAAATGATGTGATCATTTATTTACATCAGTGCAAATCATAAAAAACAAAACATTACAACTAACAACAAAAATTATAGAAGTCATACTTGGCTATACAGTTTGATACAGATTGCAAATGCATTTAATATACAGCAGAGGGGAAGTGTAGAGAAGGATAGGAGGGAAACAGCAAAGAGGGGGGGGTAATACGAAGCAAGGAAGGGCAGGGTGTACCTGTCTCCATGTCTTCCCGCAGTCTGAAGTGATGTACATCTCTTCCTTATACTCTACTAGCTTGGAGCCAAGGTTACCTGAAGGAAAGGTCAGTAATTGAAAATTTAACTAGGAACATAATCTCATGAGGCAATCAAACAACAAATTCCAAAAGAGACAAAAGTAAATAGAGAGAACAGATGTGAACAGACTAGACACTGAATAACCAATTTAGAGAAATTATATATATATATATATATATATATATATATAAATAAATCAACTGAGGTAATTAATTAATAAACAAGGTAATTTTGACTTGGTGGGTCAAACTTTTAATTTTCCCTTCACTTGCATTAATTCTAATGTTTTGTTTGGGCACTCCATGTCCTCTTTAACTGCTCAAAAATATCAGGTAGCCTCGGTACCCCTAATTTTATGAGAATGGATTATAAACCTGATTTTTAAACAATGAAATGTGTCATAAGTAGGGTTAACGACTGTCCTTTATTAGCCGGGACTACCCGTATATTGAACTAAATCTGTTTGTCCCATACAGGACCTCCCTTATTCTGTTTTGACTGCTAGTCTACTCTGATCAGCCGACAGCACTCTTATGCCAGATTTTTACTGTAGCTGTGCGCCTATGCGTTTTTTGTGGACTGGTGAGGGCACCTGGCGCAGACATCAGACTTACATAGTACTATGGAGGATTGCATGTAGCATGTAATTTCTTTTGATTTGGACCTGCGGTTTTGTAAATCATTTGACAGGTGGTCTTTGATTTATTTGATAGGCCTGATTCAATAGTTCCATATAAGTTTGCCCCAACACTACTCCATGGCTGGAAATATAATTTTGTAAGAGTTGGATGATGATGAGGTGCTCCTGTGAATAGATTAATACGATGGTTGTTTTTCTGTAACAGGATGTGACGTACTCGTCTGCGGTGCATAGTCACATTTTTCAGGAGGTAGGCATGTCACTGCAGCTCTCTGTGGGCTACACAAAGTAATTCACAATCGGAGTATTTATTGATCCGCCAAAGCTTCAAGTTCATCATGTTTTTGGCACAGAACTGTAATGGTCTCTTGTTACCGCCATGGGTCCTTTCTGCACAAAGACGCCAGCACACACTCAAATAGCTTTTAGTAATGTTCTTTTTATTGTTATTAATGCAGTTCAGGCTGAACTCGGCCGTGCGCTCTCCTGCCGTGCCCTCGAGCGCATCGCCGTACATGCGTCCGTCAGGATCGTCTGTCGTCCTGCCCGCCGCCGTATCAGCTCCTGTCTCCTGCTTACTCCTCTCTCGCGCCTCCATCCCTACTAATGTTTATATAGGGAGAGAAACAATCAAGGACCAGTTTCAGCTGCGGCTAATCAAACCTCTTCACGACACCGTTCCCTGAACCACTCCCCCCCACTCTGTCCCCTCTACAGCTGTGCCCAACCACACCCAGCCACCACAAGAACTTAATTGGTTTAAAAGCTACTTGCTTAACAGGAAACATGTCTTTTGGAATGAAACTAGCTCAACTTGTATCAACATACAGTGTGGTCTTCTACAAGGTTCTCTATTATTTCTTATATACAGTGGGTACGGAAAGTATTCAGACCCCTTTAAATTTTTCACTCTTTGTTTCATTGCAGCCATTTGCTAAAATCAAAAAAGTTCATTTTATTTCTCATGTACACTCAGCACCCCATCTTGACAGAAAAAAACAAATGTAGAAATTTTTGCAAATTTATTAAAAAAGAAAAACTGAAATATCACATGGTCATAAGTATTCAGACCCTTTGCTGTGACACTCATATTTAACTCACATGCTGTCCATTTCTTCTGATCCTCGAGATGGTTCTACTCCTTCATTGGAGTCCAGCTGTGTTTAATTAAACTGATTGGACTTGATTAGGAAAGGCACACACCTGTCTATATAAGACCTTACAGCTCACAGTGCATGTCAGAGCAAATGAGAATCATGAGGTCGAAGGAACTGCCCAAGGAGCTCAGAGACAGAATTGTGGCAAGGCACAGATCTGGCCAAGGTTACAAAAGAATTTCTGCAGCACTCAAGGTTCCTAAGAGCACAGTGGCCTCCATAATCCTTAAATGGAAGAAGTTTGGGACGACCAGAACTCTTCCTAGACCTGGCCGTCCAGCCAAACTGAGCAATCGTGGAAGAAGAGCCTTGGTGAGAGAGGTAAAGAAGAACCCAAAGATCACTGTGGCTGAGCTCCAGAGATGCAGTAGGGAGATGGGAGAAAGTTCCACAAAGTCAACTATCACTGCAGCCCTCCACCAGTCGGGGCTTTATGGCAGAGTGGCCCGACGGAAGCCTCTCCTCAGTGCAAGACATGAAAGCCCGCATAGAGTTTGCCAAAAAACACATGGAGGACTCCCAGACTATGAGAAATAAGATTCTCTGGTCTGATGAGACCAAGATTGAACTTTTTGGCATTAATTCTAAGCGGTATGTGTGGAGAAAACCAGGCACTGCTCATCACCTGCCCAATACAATCCCAACAGTGAAACATGGTGGTGGCAGCATCATGCTATGGGGGTGTTTTTCAGCTGCAGGGACAGGACGACTGGTTGCAATTGAAGGAAAGATGAATGCGGCCAAGTACAGAGATATCCTGGAAGAAAACCTCTTCCAGAGTGCTCTGGACCTCAGACTGGGCCGAAGGTTCACCTTCCAACAAGACAATGACCCTAAGCACACAGCTAAAATAACAAAGGAGTGGCTTTGGAACAACTCTGTGACCATTCTTGTCTGGCCCAGCCAGAGCCCCGACCTAAACCCAATTGAGCATCTCTGGAGAGACCTGAAAATGGCTGTCCACCAACGTTCACCATCCAACCTGATGGAACTGGAGAGGATCTGCAAGGAAGAATGGCAGAGGATCCCCAAATCCAGGTGTGAAAAACTTGTTGCATCATTCCCAAGAAGACTCATGGCTGTTCTAGTTCAAAAGGGTGCTTCTACTCAATACTGAGCAAAGGGTCTGAATACTTATGACCATGTGATATTTCAGTTCTTTTTTAATAAATTTGCAAAAATTTCTACATTTCTGTTTTTTTCTATCCAGATGGGGTGCTGAGTGTACATTAATAATAAAATGAACTTTTTTGATTTTAGCAAATGGCTGCAATGAAACAAAGTGAAAAATTTAAAGGGGTCTGAATACTTTCCGTACCCACTGTACAATGATTTGCATGTGATTTGGTAAATGGTAAATGGACTTGTACTTGTATAGCGCTTTTCTAGTTTTCCGACCACTCAAGCGCTTTAACACTACATGTCATTCACTCATTCATAAAGTTATGGCAGGGCTACCATGCAAGGTGCCACCTGCCCATCAGAATTAACTAGCATTCATACCCATTCATACAATCGTACGCCGCAGGCACAGCCTACAATTTGGGGTTAAGTGTCTTGCCCAAGGACGCATTGCATGGACTAGCGGAGCCAGGGATCAAACGGCCTCTGATTGACGACGACCCACACTAACTCACCCACAGTCACCCAAAATAATTTCTCTTTATATGGCTATCTGGTTCAAATGCAATAAATGTATAAAAGTGCTATGATCTTTAAACCAAAAAATAGTGTTCTCTATTTATTTGGATAAATACAGATTATATATGGTGACTTGACGAAAGCCTTCTGTACTGTACTGGAGAAAATTATGAAAATTCATCAACACTACTGACTGTCTTGTCAAGCTCAATGGTGCTTTGTTCTATGACTGAAATGTTGTGAAGATGATGCACTTGGGAAAAACAAAAACCGAGATGATTACAATGAATATTTTAAGACCAAAGACTGTGCAGGATATTTTGTATAATCAGAAACACTGCTCTGTTTACCATTTATTGAGCAGAGCCTACAATCAGGCCAATTGCCCAGATCGCATAACTCATAACATCTGCGATCAGTTGTTAGTGAATATTAAGTCACTTGTTTCAAAGATCTACATTATTTCATGTAAGGACTTCTCTATGGCTGAGCAAAATGACAAAAGACTGCTTGAATCATTCAAGAGCAGGGGATCATGGTAGTAGCGTTCACATTCGCGATCCCTGTCAGGTTTAAACAAACCTGCGAATTCTACCGAAGACACTGAAGCCGAGTGAAAGACAATCGTCAGAACAAGAACGGGACGATCAAAAGCTGCTCTGGTCAGATGGGGCTACAAGGCTGGCCCAACCACATGTGAATAAGGAGAAGCAGACCATACTATGGAGCATTGCCTTGTCTGCCCTCTACTACCCAACCCTGAGACTCAAAAGACCTTGCAGTGTTCAATAAAAATGCAAAGGACTGTGTAAAGAAATGGGAAACTGTCATATAACCATCATGCTTCAGTGAAACGAAAAGAAGAAGATTCAAGAGCAGCAAAACATGGCGAGTCTTTTTGACATTTGAAATGGGTTTTATTTTGGCACATCACCCAAAAAAGGGAAATGGAGGTCCCCTTCTGGAGCCAGTGACGGAAGGGGAGCTCGCCGGCGAGCATCTGGTGGCTGGGTTTTAGTATATGGGGCTTGTCTGCACACAGCCTGCAAATTCTGCAAACTCCTTTTCTGAAGTTGACCACGGTAAGAGGCACCGGGCGGATGTGGGTATTCTCATGAGTCCCCGGCTGAGCGTTGGTGCTAAATGGTAATGACTTTTATACAAATCAAAGTGCTCTAACACTACATGTCATTCACCCATTCACACACTCAGGCCTAAAATAAGATAAGATAAAATAATCCTTTATTAGTCCCGCAGGGGGGAAATTTACAGGATTACAGCAGCAGAGTGGATAGTGCAAACAAGAGACATAGTAAAAAAACAATGTATCATAAATAAGTAACAAGCAGTAAAGGATATTAACTAAGAAGATTAAAAATCCACAATAACTAAAATATAACTAAATAAAAACAAAAACAAATTGTTGTATTGCACAGTGTATTTATATTGCACAGACTTTTAGTGTTGTGTGGTCTACTGGGATCAGAGCTGGTTGTGCAGCCTGACAGCAGCAGGAAGGAAGGACCTGCGGTACCTCTCCTTCACACACCGGGGGTGAATCAGCCGGTGGCTGAAGGAGCGGCACAGAGCTGCCAGGGCGTCCAGCATGGGGGTGGGAGGTGTTGTCCATCAGGGATGATAGCTTAGCCATCATCCTCCTGTCTCCCACCACCTCCACCGTATCCAGTGGACACCCCAGCACACTGCTGGCCTTCTTCATAAGTTTGTTGATTCTCTTCCTGTCAGCTATCGAGATGCTGATCCCCCAGCAGGCAACTCCATAAAAGATGGCTGATGCCACCACACAGTCAAAGAAGGAGGTGCTCCCTGCACTCCAAAAGACCTCAGTCTCCTCAGCAGATAGAGTCTGCTCTGACCCTTTTTGTAAAGTGCATGTGTGTGATCAGTCCAGTCCAGTTTATTGTTCAAGTGAACACCCAGGTACTTATAAGATCTCACAATCTCAATGTCCATTCCCTGGATGTTCACTGGTACCGGAGGAGAGTGTTTACCCCGGCGGAAGTCCACCACCAGCTCTTTGGTTTTACCAGAGTTGATCTGGAGGCGGTTCCGCTGGCACCATCCTATAAAGTCCTGGTTCAGTTCCCTGTATTCCCTGTCATCACCAGCGGAAATGTGTACTGATGTCACAGTGTTAAAGGAATCATGCAGCCCTCACTTGGAAACACTTTTAATAGTCTGCAAACCATTTTATTCACTGCGGGAGTTTTCCTCATTTATTCTGGTCGGTGTTTACATCCCACCTCAGGCCTGTGTGAGTGAGGCGCTCCAACACCTGGCTGAGCAGATCACCAACATGGAGCACAAACATCCAGACTCCCTGCTCATTGTTCTTGGGGACTTCAACAGAGCAAACCTCAGCAAAGAACTGCCTAAATACAGACAACATATTAAGTGTAGCACTAGGGACAAAAGTGCAAAGTGTAGAATACTACTGACTTGACACCAATGTGAGATCCGTGATGTAATTACTTACGGTATTTTATATCCTTGCTCTTCGCATCCAATGCTAGCTTCCAATGTCACATTTAGCTGCCACTGATTGCAACTGACACTTTTGATATCCAACTGTCACTGTTTGACTTAAACTCAGAGTTTTCTTTGTCTATTTGTAACACTTGAATAAGTGTAATGTTTTCAACCGTCCAGGGGTGATGTTTCTTATACCAGTTATATGGATGTCTACTCACTCCTATTCGAGTATCTGTTGTTTGTCAGTTTTCCTCCTGTTTCTTCTCTCATAGCCACAAGCTCGGTCTAGCTCTTGTCATTTTTTTCAACTCATGGAGAATTTTCTTGTGTTCTCTTGTTTTTCTTCCAGTTTAACTTTCCTGTTGTCCTTAATCTTGTCATTAAGCTGTTAACATTTTTACTTTGTTCTTCTCAATTTGAAAAGGACAAAATGCATGCAAACATAGGAGCTCATGTAGAACTTGCCGTCCTTCTTTGGACTCTCTCTCTCTTCCTATATGTTCACAATCTATCTGTACATTGTTTTTCATCCCGATTGTTCATACTATAATTTGATTATGTTGGTTATCTGTACACACAACATCTATTGCATGTCTGTTCGTCCATGGCGAGGGATCAGTTATTTCCCAGGTTTTTTTGTGCGAGTTTTTCCATATCTAAACCAAGGTTCTAAGGACAGAGGTTGCTGCATGCTGTACAGATAGTGAAGCTTCTTGAGGCAAACTTGTGATTTGCTATATTGGGCTACATAAATAAAATTGATGTGACTTATAAATTTCAGGTGGGGAGAAGGTCCAACAGTCAAATAAATTAAAAGAAATGTTCCTCTAGAGACTTACCAGCACCCATGATGAGACCTGGAGCAGAGTCTTTGGTGTGGACTGTCCCAGACACGTAGGGGTTGTCTGCCCAGCGTAGGTGGAGGTGGAGTTGACAGTCCGGCTGCAGAATGCAAACATTGTCGAGTGTCGATGTGAGGATAATTCTGCCACAGGACATTGGCTACACTGTTTCACCATCTAATAGACTAATATTGGTTGTATCTGAAAGTAAAAGCAAAGCACCACTCCCTGTCGTGGTGGGGCTAAAAGCATTACATAAACTGTATACATTTTCACTTTGTCTGTCTCATTGTTACACAAACAAAAACTTTTGCCGACAAAATCATTTGAAAGAAAACCTTATTCTTAGTTCTATGATAACCTTGCATGAATTATGGCTGCGACTTCCCAATATTTCATTCCCTGAACTGGCCTGTGCAAGTTAGGGGTATGCTACTGGTGTCATACCTTTTCTTAAGGATTTTTGGTAAATAAAAGATGTGGGAAAACAGTCTGACACACCGGACAAGTACATTTTTTGGGAAAATAGGCATATTTGCGTCTTTGCAGAGAATTGAAAAAATGTACACCACTCATGTTTGTACGGTAAATATGAAGCCCCTGCCATCATCTTGTATAATCTGTACAAACCACACAGAACCAGTATAAAAAATGCTGCTATGCAGATTAAACAAATAAGTAATGTGGTAAGTAATCAGTGAACTTCATAGGTGCTGGTAGGAGGATTGTTTTACTTTTATATGAATGTAATCTTATGAATAGTTTAGGTAGTGGTAATTATGTCCTTGCCTCCTAGTCTCATTTGTGACAGGTGTAGCACCCAATCAGAAGGAAGCGAAACGAGGGAGGACCGCTGCTCTTGCTTCGGAGAAAACATAAAAATAAAGCGAACTACCCGTGTGTGCGACTTGCAAAAGTGCTGTGAGTTTTGATCGAGGGCCTTAGCTTCTGACTGCATGGATCTGGGGCACAGTGAAGTGAAGTCCTCAGCTAAAGAAATGTTTGTGTAGCAATAGCCTTCAACACGATAAGTCACTGTGGGCAGAAAGCAAGTGTAGCCATTGCTGTGAATCATCCCCCCCTCCACGGCCTGGTACAGACTAGTTATGAGGCAAGGCTTGGGACATCTGTTTTTAAAAATAATAGAAGGGCCATCTACTGTAAAAAGACTTTCCGAGAGTTCTTTGTTCTGTCACATTGAATGTTAGAACCTCCCTTCAATAGGGGAGTAGACACTGGTCTAACTTAACTAGATTTAGGCTTAATCTAAATGGTCAACCCAGCAAGTTATTTATTTTATTTTCTCCACTCAAAATTGTTTTTGTCAATTATTTGTAGATGAAGCTGCCCTCTATTGCCCCACATTAATCAAGGGGCCAAGGGCTAACAGTGCTCGGACATCCACACATAGATCTTGTATCCTTCAGTTGTCCAGGGCAGACAATTTTTTGACACCTACAACTAGGACTTATTCCTCACTACACATAGCCAGGCTAGCCGATTTCCCTTGTGTCCAGTCTTTGTGATAAGCTGTTCCTCTCCAGACCAATTAATTGCTCTATCCTTCAGAAAAAACACCTAAATTAAGAAAATTTATCCCGGATCTGTTGAAAAGAACTTGCTCGTATATTTACCATTAAAAAAACATCGGAATCAGACATAGTTTGTACAACATACAGATGGTTTAAGGATGCTTAAAGATGAAAACTCCATGTTTTCGGAACAGTGTAACATGCATGTTAAAGAAACAGTTTGACATTTTGGGAAAAACACAAATTTGCTTTTCTGTAGAGAGTTGGATCATGAGATTGTTACCACTGTCATATTACGTTAAATATGAGGCTAGGGCCAGCAGATGTTTAGCTTAGCTAAGCACAAAGCGACAGTTAGCCTGGTTCAGTCCAAAGGTAAGAAACCAGATGGTGTGTTACAAACAACTACCTGGGAAGCGACAGGCTATTTGGAAAAGAGCAGGTGCTTTAAAAAAAATGCTTTTTCAGGAAGTCTGATGAACCAATTGCCAATCAAACTCTTACCACAGCCAGTCGGGAGAGGAGCAAAAACATCAAGAAAAGGCTTCAGTGTCATGTTTTGTTCTTCTTTCAATGAAGAAATGCTTTCCAGTTCTGATATAACTGATACTATTGCAGCATCTATGCTAATCTCTTAAGGAGCCACCATTGTTGTTTTGAACAAACACCTCTCTCCCCTCTCTGTGTTGTCACATCACACACCTAAATCAGGCCTGTAGCTGCCAATAGTGCCTTACAGGATGCTGATTGATCTATAGCAATGTGGTCAGACACAAGTGCATTACAGCTTGTTGGGATGGATTTTTGTGTGATCTCAAACCCCTGATTCTTGTGTAATCTATTGGTATCACAATAATCCAACTGCCGTGCAAGGTTAACAAAATCTAACTACCAGCACCTTTAAAGCTCACTTATGTTATATCAGATCTGTACAAAAACCAAAATTAAAATTGGCCAGTTGTGGTTTTACAAAGGTTTATGTGGGGTTTCCATGTATGTCAACTGATTAGCTGGTTAGTTATATTTAGCCTATAAGATTTCTTAAACTTTTCAATTTGGCAGAGTTTTAAGTCACTCAGCTCTATTGGAAGCTGTATTGTTGTCAGTCGGTATGCAAACATACATTGGCTTTGAACGCCTTCCCTTTAAAGCTGCTCATCTCTGGTTGTAGATTAAATACAGAAAAAAGTAAAAGGGACTTTTTGTGAGGTCACTACTTACTGCTTTGCAGCTGTTCGGCTTGCCATTCATGTCAGTGGTAGGTGGGACCAACGGTTCCCAGTTTTGCCCTTTGTTATAGGTGATGAGAGTTGTCACTTTGCCATTGATCTTCTGATTGGCCAGAAAGACTCCTTTGATTCCATGCACCTAGGATACAAAGTGGAACAACTTGGGTTAACTTTGAAAAAATACCTGAAATGCTAATTTAAAGTGACCCTATGCAGATTTTGTTTAAAAGTGGCCACTGTGAACACAGGTGGAAATTACAGTGTCATGGTAAATGCTAAAACATGTGTAACAATAGCACAAGAGAGGTTAGGTCATGAAGTCATCAAACTGACTCATAACTTGTATTCTCTCTGGACTTCTAGCTTCTCTCCTTTCTTTGGTAAAACTTGTCCATGCATTCATCTTCAGCAGACTGGACTACTGTAACGGTGTGTTTACAGGTCTCTGTAAAAAGTCAGTCAGAAAACTGCAGCTGATTCAGAACGCTGCAGCTCGAGTCCTCACTAAGACCAGGAGGGTGGATCACATTACTCCAGTTCTGAGGTCTTTGCACTGGCTTCCTGTCCAACAAAGAATTGACTTTAAAATCCTGCCGTTGGTTTATAAAGCACTGAATGGTTTAGGGCCAAAACACATCTCTGATCTGCTGCTACCTTATGAACCATCCCGACCCCTTAGGTCGTCTGGGACCGGTCTACTTTCTGTTCCCAGAGTCAGAACTAAACATGGAGAAGCAGCGTTCAGTTCTTCTGCTCCACATATCTGGAACAAAGTCCAGAAAGCTGCAGGTCTGCTGAGACCCTCAGCTCCTTTAAATCAAGATTGAAGACTTTTCTGTTTGCTGCTGCCTTTAATTGAACCAGATTCAATTAATATATTAATCAATTTCCTGCATTTCACTACTGTATTATATTTCTCACACTGCTTTTTAGTGTTTTAATGAATGTTCTTAATTGTTTTTAAATCTCCTTTTCTTTTGCTTTATGTTTTGATGCTTTTAATGGTTTTATGTGAAGCACTTTGAATTACCTTGTTGTTGAAATGTGCTATACTAATAAACTAGCCTTGCCTTTCTGTCACTTCATCTCTCCACTTCTGTTCAGCATTTCAACTTTTTCTCTTAATTTTATTGCTCCTTGTGCTTCAAGTCTTTATCCATCCTGGGTATGTTGTTAACCTCTCTGTCTCTATCTACTGCAAGTGATGAGAGTACAGCCTGGAGTGAATGATGAGAGAGGAGAAGGAAATTAGTTCTGCAGTGTTAGGACCCAGGAGCAGTACGACAACACCGGGACTGGTATGATTTAAGTTCTTTATTTTCAACACACGACAGGCAAAATATTCTCCGGAAGAATCAGCGTCAGGGTTCTCGTGGTCAAGGACAGAAAGGCTGAGTAAGTTCGCAGGGCAGAGGCAAGGCGAGGTAGTCCGGAACAGGCAGGGTCGGCAACAGAGAATCAGTCCATGGGTGAATGCGGGAAAGTTTAGCATGAATGCGGAGAACGATCTGGCAGTGAGTGTGTGTGAGGCAGGGGTTTAAATAGTGAAGAGGCAGAGTGAGCAGGTGAGAGTGATGAGCTGATGAGGTGAGTGTGACTGGCAGGTGCACTGAATGAACTGATTAGGTGAGTGAAAGGTGGAAAAAGCTAGACAGAAGTGACAGAGCTGTGACACAGTGAGGGCCATTTACTCTGTTGCGCACCACCTCTTCTTTTCACTCCAACACTTCCTCTCTACCGATTCCTTCTCTCCTTGATTCATTTTCTCCGGACATACAGAATGAAAGGAAGGCAAGGATAACATGGGAGATTCAAGATCAGGCTCTGCCACAACATTTCTGTGTCCTTAAACAGATTGGAGTACCTTGGACCAGCCCCTAGATAAGCTGCTATAGGCCTAGACTGCCGGGGGACTTCCTAGGATACACTGAGCTCCTATCGCCTCTTCTGTATCTCCTTCTGTATGAATTGATATCCCATTAATGCTCATTACTAACTTTGCTTCTTCCCCGGAGTCTTTGTGCTTTCTCGCCTCACAGGTTTCCATGGATCGTGGTTATACCTGGACCCTGGTCTTGCCTCCTGCCATGGTCCTGTCATATGCATTGAATGTGTTGTAACTCTGTTATGCTGTTCATTCTGTACACATGACATCTATTGCACTTCTGTCCATCCTGGGAGAGGGATCCCTCCTCTGTTGCTCTCCCACAGGTCTCTTCCTCTTTTCTCCCCGTTAAAGGGTTTTTTGGGGGGAGTTTTCCCTGTTCTGATGTGAGGATTCCGGGACAGAGGATGTTGTATGTGTACAGATTGTAAAGCCTTCTGAGGCAAATTTGTATAATTTGTGATTTTGGGCTATACGGTTATTATTTGTTTCGTGTAAAAATGAAGCCAACACCTATAGATACACTATCTGCTGAGAGTGCTTCTCCTCTTTGCTCTGACCGCAGCTGCGCGAGGCTTCTGTGGGCTTCTGTGGGCTTCTGTGGGCGGCGGCGGAGAGGCTCACGGCACCACCCGCTGCTCATTCACGACAGTGCAGAACGTACGTGCTTTTACGTCAAAACACCAGAAAAGTCTCCAATAACACCAGAACAAGTCACTAGATTTGTCACTAGTAGCTTTTGACAAAAGAGTCTCCATGAGGGTTTGGAAAGTCGCCAGATTTAGCGAGAAAGTCGCCAAGTTGCCAACACTGGCACCTGCTAAATATGTCCCCAGAGCAACATTGGACGTAACAATGGTTCCTATCACATATTAAACCAAACAAAAATCTTCATAAAAACAAGTTGTACAAATATTAATATATAAACAAGCATATTAAAGCTACTGCAGATGTAAAAACAAACGCATTTAACATACCAGAGCTGCTGTTCACGATTTAAAGACAAAATCCATCCTCCTTTCTTTGTTAACAAAGAGTTTAATCTCACGGTTGTTCAGTACATCTGTGCATTTTAGTTCCAGTAAGAAGTCCTTCTCGATTCATGGACGCCAGTGAAGACAGTCGGGCCTCCCCAGTTGTATTTCTTGAATAGGTTTTAATGCGTTTGAGGGCTAAAAATGTCCGCTCGACAGAGGCAGCAGATTTTGGGATTGTCACCGCCCAACATGTCACGCTAGCCCACTGACCAATCACATACTTGTAGGCCAGCTAGCAGGCTCTGGCACGTCAAAGAATACGCCCAACATGTCAAACTAAAGATCCGATTGGTTGAACACTATGACAATCAACAATATCGTCCCCATTCACTTAAAGTGCAAAGGGATTCACTTGTGAGTCTGCAGGCCTCGGGCCTCTCTTCTTACCTAGAGACACAGGGGTGAAATCTGATTGGATAAAAGCTCTACTTAAAACAAGCTGCACTGGAAGCAGAGCAACTGAGGAAGACAGTAGCTGTGCAATGAGAAAATAAGATGATGGGGAAAATATTTTTATAAATTATAATACATGTAGTGTATTTATGAAAAAATATAAAATAGCTATAACTTTGTGATTCTGTTTAGGCCAGCAGAGAAGGCTTTGCAGGCCCTTACGGCCCACCACTGCTATACACATACTGTGTATAGCAGTGGTTTATACATGTACACATGCACACACACACACACACCCATCCTGATGAAGCGCTTTGAGAAACTGTTTCTCCAACACAACACCGACATCAGAAAGTTGTTTGTTGATTTGAGCTCAGACTTCAACACAATCTCCCCCATGAAACTGATTAGTACACGTAGCACTCTAGGCTTGAGTACCTCATCTTGCAACTGGTTTTTAGACTTCCTCACAAACAGACCCCAGACAGTTTGGATTGGCAGCCAAACCTGCTCCACTCTAGTGTTGGACACAGGACACCCACGACTACTACCCCAAACGTGAATAGAACTCTGTTGAGAAGTTAAGATGACACTATCTTCAACGGCCGGATTTACAAACAACAATGAGACTTAATATTTAGAGAAAATCAACAATCTTACAGGGTAGTGCTCAGAGAACAACCTATTGTGCAATGTCAGAAAAACCAAGGAGGTGATTGTTGATTTTAGAAAAAAAGGAGGCAAAGATGCACACCCCTGTCTACATCAATGGAGCTGTGATGGAGCAAGTTAACAGCTATAAGTTTCTTGGAATCAGCATCACAAACAACCTGACGTGGATCTCATACATCTCCATCCAAGAGAAGAAAGCTCATAAACATCTGTATTACTTAAGGAAACTTAAGAAGGCAAAATTCCTGTGCCAAGTTCTTGTACATTTTTACAGAGGAGCAATAGAAAGCATCCTGACTGGAAACATTACAAACTGGCATGAGATGTGCACGAGCCAGGACAGGAGTGCTGTACAGCGGATGATTACAACTGCCCAGAACATCATTGGTACCCATCTATTGAGCATCAGTGATATTGGTGACAAGAGGAGCCTGCGAAGAGCTAAAAGGATAATAAAACACAATACCCACCCCAGCCACAGCCTCACTGGCAAGAGTTCTGAGTAGAATCCCTGCTCCACTGCAGTGAAATAAGCCAGTTGAGGTGGTTCAGGTGTCTGATTAGGATGCCTCCCTCTCCCTGTTAAGGTACTCGTGGCATAGTGAAATGGCTATTCTACTCCTCCACCCCAACTCACCTCAAGAATGTCGATGAGGACATTCTCCTCTGGCTGCTTGGTGCTGCGAACATTTTCCAGGACAATGGAGTAGTAGATGCCCTGGGGGTCAGACTGGTACAGGTTATATGTGTCTGACTGGTACCACTCCTGGAGAGCGAGGAAGACCTGGTTCTCATCTGTACTCACTATCTGAACATCCTGGGGGCAGAGATGGGGGGGTTGGAGAGAGAAGTGGAGGTCAAAAAGGGAGAGTCAGTATTTTATGAATCTATACACTTTTTCTTTTTCATATTTCTGTGCATGTACATTTACCATGAGAGCAACAAAATACCAGAGTAGAATTATTTTGTATGTGTACACACTGTCACCATGCACTGGTGAGGCACACCCTGTGCTGAGAAACCTGTGGAAATAATCTGCCAAAAACCTTTTCAATCCTCAGTATTACCTTCACCAAAGTTTCATAAGAGGTTTCAAGTGTTGTTTTTGCAACACACAAAAAAAAAAAAACGGGGGCGGCCATGGCTCACTGGGTAGAGAGGGTCATCCGGCAACCACAAGGTCGACGGTTAGATCCTTGGCTGCTATGTGTCCTATGCCGAAGTGTCCCTGAGCAAGATGCTGCTCCCTGGGTGCTTCTCAGCAGCCCACTGCTCTCAATAAGCTAGGGATGGGTTAAATGCAGAGGACAAATTTCGTATATGTGTATATGTATATGACAATAAACTTAAAAAGAGAAATTGTGACTAAAACCGGATTGAGTCGGACTTTCTTTTCCCTCTGTGTAGTTTGGGCCTACAAGAAAAGGCTCTCCCAAGATGGCAAGATGGCTGGTTGCAGGTAGAAAGAAAATGACTGTCTATAGAACTCACAGGAACAGGTGCGTGAACTATTTGATCAACTGAAAGCTTTTTTATAAAGAACTGCTGCAACAGCAAGAAAGCTACTTTAAAGTTTGTGTACCTTCATAGACACTACTGCCACAAGAATGGATGCCATTTTGAAATAGCTGCAGTAATTAAAAGTCAGCCTCCATTTTACAGAAAAGTAGGGGGATTGTGGCGGTTCACGGTTTACCGTGTGGGTTTAGGAGTGGATAAGAGACTCAGGCACAGACTTAAACACAGGACACAAGGTGAGGTGAAAAACAAGGCTCTTTACTGGGCACTTAGACAGAAACCAAAATCTACTCCAACCGGGAGCAAGGAAAATCCAGACTGAAAATAAAAAGCTAAGTCACAAAAAAGGGCTTTGACACAAAAAGGCAGTCACAAACCCTGGAACGCAGAGGGTCAACATGAGAGATGACCACAGGAGCGCAAAGAGTCCACAGGGAGGAAAAAGTCAAAAGATAATCCGGCAACTGGAACAGGGCAAGCAGGGGAGTATAAGTATGTGAGGGGTGATGAGCGGATTGCCGGCAGGTAAGTGGAAATGAGTGGGGTTTGCAGAGGAAAAAACCAGGGGCAGGTGATTTGGCACAGGTGGAGAGAATGAGCATGATCAGGAGAGAGAGACACACACACACACAAACACCACACTCACACAAAACCCAACCGTGACAGGGATAGCTTGAAAGCTACCAATGCCATCCTTTTCATCAAACTGTAAATTAAATTAAAGCTGCAAGCAGCATTGATCGGGCCCTCGCAACTTCACGCATGTCGAGGGTACTGGCAGGACTCTGGTTGACGTGGCCATGCATTTCTGTGACCATCATACACTAAGTGCATGAGTTAAACGGCATTTCCTGCCGAGACCAGCGGCGTAGCCAGGTCATTTTTGCCAGGTCTTAAGTCTTGAATGATTTGAGTGTAGCTCCGAATACAATCATAAATGTAAGCCTGAAAAGATCCACAAAAAACTGAAAGTGTGTGAATGCACTTTAGTGTTTGTATCATAACGGACTGTCAAAGTAAATGCAGGTCTCAAAACCAACTGTATGTGCAGCTAGCTCTGACAATCACTGCTAAGAGACTCAAAGCGGGAAGAGTCGAGGAGAAATGGCAGAATGTATAGTTCCATTTGGAAAAAAAACAACATCTTTTGGTCGAGAAAAAAGTTTGAGCCCATGTTGTGTAATCTATAACATGAATTTGGTTGGGTGCAGGTTGATTTCCCAGATAGCAGTCGACTCCAGGGTGGATCCGCCCTCAGGTCGACAGATCCGCCATACCGTCGCACTTGGTTCGACCATGCGTGCCGGATACACCCCGCCTACGGATCGCGCACCGTCAAACAGTGGATTCGCTGTGGACACCGGACGGATCCGCACATCGAACGCACCTATTTTCCCCTGTTCAAATACTGCAGGCAGGTAACAGGCAGCCTACCATTAGGACCCACGCAATAGGGGGGTAATAAAAGGGGGTGGGACGCTCACCTGGGCCTTTCCTCCCGAACGCAGACAACCCTGAGCGAGCAGCTGATCAACCTCGAGGCCAGCTTGTTTGGTGACTGATTTGGTAAGCTCTCTTTCTTTCCTTTTTCAAAATATGTTTAAAAGCATGATTTTAAGAGTGAAATTATAGAAACATGATGTATTGTTTTTAGGTCACAGCATTAAATTGAAGGTGTGTGAGATAACGGTTAAAAATGTGTTATCTGCTAGAGGGGACGGTGGCCAGTCTAGAAAGGTAGATAATCACGTTTACATTGTTTTATCAAATGTTTGTGTAAAGGTTCCTTTTTGTATAATGTATTGTTTCTTTTTAGTGTTAAACAAAGTTAGTTTAAAAGAACATACTATATCTAATTTAAATCAAATGACAGCCATTTTCTGTTTCTCGTGTGTGTGCGTGTGGTGGGGGGGGGGGGGCTGTGCTGAAGGGGGATGGTAAAGTTGCATCCAGATCGTTTTGTGTTTGAGTCACCTTAGCATGCTGTGCGTAGGTACATTTGATTTAGTCATAACTTGCCTACATATTCTGTGACAAATTCCTCTCTTTACGCCTAACTCTACACTGACGTCCCTGATGGTGCAGTTTTGCCCCATGTTTGTTTCTTCTGCTGTTTGGTTGTTTTGATTTATGCATTGATATTAAAGACAAGTATTTTAAGACATGCATTGTCAATTAAATGTATATTTTCTGTATAGCAGTCTCTATTTCCAGTCTATTGTGGGTTTATTTGCCGATTTACACGTTTGCAATGTCATCCTCAGAGCTTTAACCTCGCTGAAAGGAGGTAACAGAAGTGTCGACACTGTCGATCCGTTATATCTACAGACGGACCTCCCGCCGCATTTTAAATCCCTGAAGAAAAGAAAATTTAATACAGTTGTTTGAAGGAAATGTTTTCACAGCAACTTAAAGACACATTTGAGAGGGAGAGGGAACCTGTTTAACTTCCTAACACTAGTAGTTTTAATGATATGATTCCGCTTAGAGCTATAATGACAAGATTTGTTTTAATAAATTAAAATACAATCTTATAGTTTATAGAAGAGTGTTTTTATGAAGAGAACTTGACATGCTATGTAAGCACAAAGACAGAGTAAGAACCAAAAGATAAAATTAAGAACAAATATTTGCTTAAAGAAAAGACCCATTACAAACAATGGTTGTAATCTATTTTTTTGTTTCTGTTTAGATAAAATGAATAGAAAGACTGGGCCTGTCTCCAGCTCCACCTTAAGACGGAGGACCCCTCAAGATGTTGAAAAAATACTTCAACAAATTTAGGATGACTGCACAAATTTGACTGACTTTCAACTGACACCAGAGAGGGGACATGTAGATGTCAGTGGAGAGTTTTTTGAAAGTCTAAATTGCACAGACGATACAACTTGTCCAGACACTCCAACTGGGGCAGTCTTTAGTGAGGAGGAAGGTGGCTTGGAAGTAGATGGACATAATTGATGGTTTTGTGGTTGGGGGCTGTGATGGGCAGAGTCAGACATCTGATTCAGAACATTCTGATGATGAACTTGAAACAGTTTCCTTCTCTGAAAGCATTTCCAACTGGGCCATACACTTTGGCATTTCTTTGGTTGCTTTGACAGCACTATTGGGCATACTTCGTATTTTCCATCCTGATCTTCCAAGGGATGCCAGGACCCTTCTTAGAACTAAGACAAAATACTTAATTCTGGAAAGGACTGGGGGACAGTACCTCAATCTTTGTATTCTGCTTTTGCTGAGAAATATACTGTCCAAGTACATGCATACACTGGCAGACAGTTTCACTTTGAAGTTGCAAATAAACATAGATGGACTTCCTTTATTCAAAAGCTCTATCTGCAACAGTGGCCCATCCTTGGTCTGCTATTGAATGTTCCCATGAAAGAACCAGTTGTGATAGGTTTATTCTGTGGACCAAAGAAACCCAGCTCAGCAAAAGACTTCCTTGAAGATTTTGTTACAGAGTTACAACTAGCTTGAAAAAGGTTTTGATATAGCGGGTAAGACATTGAAACTCCAACTGGACACAGTCATTTCTGACACACCAGCCAGGTAATTTATTAAGAACACAAAGAACCACAATGGCTACCATGGTTGTGACAAATGTATGCAGCCTGGGAAATACATTAACAGACGCATGACATATCCATGTACAGACTTTGCTCTCAGGACAGACGAATCATTTGAAAACATGGTTGATGAGATTCATCATCATGAGGGGCCACATCCATTTCTTGGCAGCAGTGTTGGCATGGTTTCTCAATTCCCTTTGGATTACATGCATTTGGTTTGTTTAGGTGTTGTTAGACAATTGCTACACATCTGGCTCAGGGGTCCTCTGAATTTCCGAGCGCCTGCAAAAATTGGAGAAATAATGTCGGCAAAACTGATAGAAATGTGTCCCTATATTCCTGTGGAGTTTGCCCGAAAGCCTAGATCGCTGAGAGAATTAGATCGGTGGAAGGCCACGGAATTAAGGCAGTTTCTACTGTACACACGATGTCACAGCTCTGTCACTTCTGTCTAGCTTTTTCCACCTTTCACTCACCTAATCAGTTCATTCAGTGCACCTGCCAGTCACACTCACCTCATCAGCTCATCACTCACCTGCTCACTCTGCCTCTTCACTATTTAAACCCCTGCCTCACACACACTCACTGCCAGATCGTTCTCCGCATTCATGCTAAACTTTCCCGCATTCACCCATGGACTGATTCTCTGTTGCCGACCCTGCCTGTTCCGGAGTACCTCGCCTTGCCTCTGCCCTGCGAACTTACTCAGCCTTTCTGTCCTTGACCACGAGAACCCTGTCGCTGATTCTTCCGGAGAATATTCTGCCTGTCGTGTGTTGAAAATAAAGAACTTAAATCATACCAGTCCCGGTGTTGTCGTACTGCTCCTGGGTCCTAACTACACCCGTTACACACGACTTGTAATGCTAGGAACCTTTCTGGACAGAAATATGTACAGCAATTTCATGCTACTCTTCTCTGGTATTGCCATTTTAGTAAGTCCTAGACTATCTAGTAACGCACAGTATGCTCACACCTTACTTAGATATTTTGTCAGTGACTTTGGTGAGCTATATGGCAAAGATTAAATTGTTTATAATGTCCATGGTTTGGTCCATCTGGCAGATGAAGTACGACATGGTTGCCTTGACTAATTTTCTGCATTTCCATATGAAAGTTACCTGCACAAGCTGAAAAAGCTTGTCAGAAAACCAGACTTTCCCCTTGCACAAATTATCCTTCGATTGTCAGAGAAGAGAATTACGACACTCCTTTAAATGGTACCTGTTTTAAAAAGCAAAAACGTTAGCACCTTCCATCTGGCAGGAGGCTGAGGACCATCAGGACAAAGACCTTACGCCATCAGAACAGTTTCTTCCCGTCTTCAGTTGGACTCATTAACAAAGCCCGGGACCCCCACTGACTCTGACACTTACATCCCCAAGACAATTTCTTCTTAAACACCCTTGCACTCCTTTCCCTATTAATATACACATGCCACTCGTATACTTGTTTTAATATACTCTTGTTTGTTTACAAACCATATTTTTATATTTTATTGTAAATTTCAAAATGTTTCTAAATCATGTCTTGTATTTTGCACTGTGTTGATTGTTTGTTATGCACCATCCACTTAGTCAAATTCCTTGTATGAGCAACATACTTTGGCAAATAAACGGTTGTGATTCTGATCCCTCCTCTCTTGCCATCGTTAGTTCCTTCTTTGTTTCTGACTCTACTGAGAGGACATGCTGCAGCAATGTTTCACTTCAACTGTTTGGCATCCTTTAAAGATCTAAGTCCAAGTATTTCTGTATGTACAGTGAGTACGGAAAGTATTCAGACCCCTTTAAATTTTTCACTGTTTCATTGCAGCCATTTGCTAAAATCAAAAAAGTTCATTTTATTTCTCATTAATGTACACTCAGCACCCCATCTCGACAGAAAAAAACAAATGTAGAAATTTTTGCAAATTTATTAAAAAAGAAAAACTGAAATATCACATGGTCATAAGTATTCAGACCCTTTGCTCAGTATTGAGTAGAAGCACCCTTTTGAGCTAGTACAGCCATGAGTCTTCTTGGGAATGATGCAACAACCTTTTCACACCTGGATTTGGGGATCCTCTGCCATTCTTCCTTGCAGATCCTCTCCAGTTCCGTCAGGTTGGATGGTGAACGTTGGTGGACAGCCATTTTCAGGTCTCTCCAGAGATGCTCAATTGGGTTTAGGTCAGGGCTCTGGCTGGGCCAGACAAGAATGGTCACAGAGTTGTTCCAAAGCCACTCCTTTGTTATTTTAGCTGTGTGCTTAGGGTCATTGTCTTGTTGGAAGGTGAACATTCGGCCCAGTCTGAGGTCCAGAGCACTCTGGAAGAGGTTTTCTTCCAGGATATCTCTGTACTTGGCCGCATTCATCTTTCCGTCAATTGCAACCAGTCGTCCTGTCCCTGCAGCTGAAAAACACCCCCATAGCATGATGCTGCCACCACCATGTTTCACTGTTGGGATTGTATTGGGCAGGTGATGAGCAGTGCCTGGTTTTCTCCACACATACCGCTTAGAATTAATGCCAAAAAGTTCAATCTTGGTCTCATCAGACCAGAGAATCGTATTTCTCATAGTCTGGGAGTCCTTCATGTGTTTTTTGGCAAACTCTATGTGGGCTTTCATATGTCTTGCACTGAGGAGAGGCTTCCGTCGGGCCACTCTGCCATAAAGCCCCGACTGGTGGAGGGCTGCAGTGATAGTTGACTTTGTGGAACTTTCTCCCATCTCCCTACTGCATCTCTGGAGCTCAGCCACAGTGATCTTTGGGTTCTTCTTTACCTCTCTCACCAAGGCTCTTCTTCCACGACTGCTCAGTTTGGCTGGACGGCCAGGTCTAGGAAGAGTTCTGGTCGTCCCAAACTTCTTCCATTTAAGGATTATGGAGGCCACTGTGCTCTTAGGAACCTTGAGTGTTGCAGAAATTCTTTTGTAACCTTGGCCAGATCTGTGCCTTGCCACAATTCTGTCTCTGAGCTCCTTGGGCAGTTCCTTCGACCTCATGATTCTCATTTGCTCTGACATGCACTGTGAGCTGTAAGGTCTTATATAGACAGGTGTGTGCCTTTCCTAATCAAGTCCAATCAGTTTAATTAAACACAGCTGGACTCCAATGAAGGAGTAGAACCATCTCAAGTAGGATCAGAAGAAATGGACAGCATGTGAGTTAAATATGAGTGTCACAGCAAAGGGTCTGAATACTTATGACCATGTGATATTTCAGTTTTTCTTTTTTAATAAATTTGCAAAAATTTCTACATTTGTTTTTTTCTGTCAAGATGGGGTGCTGAGTGTACATTAACGAGAAATAAAATGAACTTTTTTGATTTTAGCAAATGGCTGCAATGAAACAGAGTGAAAAATTTAAAGGGGTCTGAATACTTTCCGTACCCACTGTAGCATGTAAAGATGTACTACGAACTATTCTTTGTGTATTTTCTTTTTTACTCTACCATTTGTTTTGTAATAATAGATGCTAATCGTGATTAGCATTTCTCCAGTGACATCAATGTTAAAATTACTTGGATGCTAACTATTCAAGCATGTTTCATGATAATGGCTACATGTTTTTTCTTGCATGATGGCTATATGCCAAATAATTTTTTTAACAGTTTTACAAAAAGAAAGGGAGATTCTCAGTAAAGGCCTAAAGTCTACTGTGGATTCCTGGGTCTTTATTTCATGGATCTACTGTTAGCTATCTGCTAAGCTTTCCTGTACAAAACAAGAGCAGAATACCCCAGGTTTAGTTTGAAGTGACATCAGCAGTGAAAGAAGTATCATTTTTGTGTGCTTTACCTTTGGCAAGGCATACTTGGGAAATCTCATCTGGACGAACTCATTGCGCCGATAGGACACGTAGTGCTTGGTAGGATTTCCTGTGGTGACCTGAAAAAAAACGCAACAAATTTGCACACTTAAAATCCACATTTTTGACTGAGACTGTATTATCTCCATTTGTATCTATTATTATACATTTTGCTTTTATTATTATTACTATATTATAACCTTTACACACAATCACACTTTCATTGCAAAGAGGTAAAAAGAAGACGGTGGAAAAGAAGAGGAGGTAAAAACAGATTTATATATTGAAGGTAAAATGAAAGCTGCAAGCAGCATTGTTCGGGCCCTGGCACCTTCACGCACGTCGAGGGTACTGGCAGGACTCTGGTTGACGAGGCCGTGCATTTCTGTGACCATCAGACACTGCATTCAGGAGATAGATGTATTTACTGCGTTGACCAGCAGCTTAGCAAGATCATTTTGCCAAGTCTTAAGCCCTGAATGTTTTGAGTGTATCTCAGAATACAATCATAAATGTAAGCCTGTAAAGATCAACAAAAGACTGAATATAACTGTTATGAATTGCATACTAATGAGTGTTAATGTAGGAACAATGCTTTATAAATGATGAATTAAGTGTTTACTCATACTTAACTAATGCTTCATAGTGTGTAGTTATTATAAAGTGTTACTGGAATAGTTAATCCACAATAACTAAACTATAACTACAACTATGATATATACAGACAGAATAATTGTAGTATTGCACAGAGTATTTATATTGCACTTTTGTGTTGTGTAGTCTACTGGGAGTACAGCTGGTTATGCAGCCTGACAGCGGCAGGAAGGAGGGACCTGCGGTACCTCTCCTTCACACACCGGGGGCTGAAGGAGCTGCCAGGGCGTCCCGCATGGGGTGGGAGGTGTTGTTCATCAGGAATGATGGGCTTATTTAGGCTTAGTACAACAGGTGTGGTCCGCATATGCTGTTTCTATACTGTGCATGCTCAATGTCATTTACATTTATAGAATGTAAAGCATTTCCTTCTATTAAAATTAAAATGTTTTGAAAATCAATTTCTAGACTTGTTACCCAGACCTTGAATCTAGATTCAAGAAAGAAAACCTGAACAGAAAAAAGTGATACTAAAATTTTGGAAATCTGAAAACAGAATGAGAAACCATTTTTGTTTCACTAAAATATTTCTATAATACACCACTCTACCCTTCACCTCCCCTGTTGTAATGATGTTTACCTTTACAAATATGTAGTTGTCCTGCACCAGCAGTGAGTTGTGGTCGATTTTGCCAAGAAACTGAGCAGTCACCATTTTGTCCGAACAGTTCTGGATGAGACAGGTAACATACAGGTAACCTGCAGTGGCACACAGAAACGGACAAAAAAGAACAGTTCCTGTTGATTAAATGTACAAAATATTAATAAATAAAAATTGTTGGCCACATATATTTGTGCAGGTTCACATACAGTGTGGCGATACATTCATTGTTGTCAAATATAGCTATATTACAATATACTGAACATTACTGATTAAACAGAAACTGAAGACTCTGACCATGTAAGCTATGTTATGTGGAAACAGTGATAGATGAAGGAAGAATGAGATACTTTGAAGAATTTCTCGTGCATCCCGGGGGAGCCTGGGGACATGGCTGGCCGAGAGGTCTCTGGAAACAACGGACAGGTACTGGTTGGCCAGAAGGGCTGCAGCTGTGGTGGTTGCAGAGGCAAAAACCCAGGTTTGGGAGGAGTTTGGGGAGACCATATAGAAGGACTTTCAGTGGGCCTCAAGGAAGTTCAGGCAAACCGTGAGACGACTTAGAAAGGGAATGCGAACTGAGGACCCAGACTGGGCATATTGTCGAACGGTGGAAAAAGAACTTTGAGGAACTGCTGAAACCAACCAACACGTCCTCCATGGAGGAGGTAGTTTATTTGTTTATTTATTTATTTGTCAGGGACAATGCACACCAATCAACAGTTGAACTGTAAGTGAGCCAGAGTTAGCCAGAGAGGCTAATTTCCATCTGCTGTCCCCAGCCAGATGTTTCAAGGCAGCCTAAAATAACAAAATCTCAAATTGAAACGGAATTAAAATTCATAGAGAAACGGACAGCAACGTATAGACAAAACCAATACACAGCAAAATAAAAGTGTACGACATTAAAGCAGAGCAGACATAACAGGCTTCAGCATGCATCACGCAGAACAGACCCACCTACAGGACAAGCACATATATAACACTGAAGCACATAACATACACATCAAAAAAATAGAAAATAGCAACACTGAACAAGACAAATGCACATATAGGAGAAACAAGCAGGCAGGACAGACAGCACATCAATGCTTGCACACCTGATTGGCAACAAACCATTCCTTGAAGTTATGCTTGAATGTTTTGTGTGGTGGCAGAGCATTCCACAAGTGAGCTGCCTTCACAGAGAATGTAGATTTTCTAAACAAGCTTGAACTATGTGGAATGACACAATCACCTCTTGAAGCACATCTAGTGAGTCTGCTGTGTTTGAAGATCTAGTGTTTGAAGACTCGGGGTAGACTCATCCATATGCCTGGCAGAGATTGTTGAGGTCATCAAAAAGGCACCAGGAATGGATGAGATTCGCCCTGAGATGCTGAAGGCTCTGGACATTATTGGGCTGACACATCTCTTCAGTGTCGCGTGGAGGTCGAGAACAGTGCCTGTGGAGTGGCAGACTCGGGTGGTGGTTCCCATAATTACAAAAGGGGACCGGAGAATGTGCTCCAATTATCGGGGTATCACACTGCTCAGCCTCCCCATGAAAGTTTATTCCAGGGTGCTGGAAAGGAGGCTCCGACCCTAATGTCAGATACAGGAGGAGCAATGAACACTGAACACTATGTTGCTCTATGTTCCTCTTTTCAGATTCAGTTATCTTTAATCACTCCCAATTTCTTCAGTCATTGTTATGTCATTGTCATTGATGAAAAACAAAACTCCCTGCAGATTTTTCATATTGACATGACTCAAACTAAAGGGACCTTAAATGGCAGTAGCAAATGTTATGGGAAGCCATTATGAGAATTCTATGTTTAAAAGCACTCCTAGTGCTGGTTATTATGTGTCACAATATATTTATTTGTAGAAGTTTTAAGTAAAGTCACTGAATGTATTGTGCACTGTGAAAGAAACCAGACGTCTCACTCATAGGTAATGAGTGTAGTCGGAGCAAGGTAGAGACAGCTGATGTGAACTGCATTACAGCTGGACTGCGGAACACCCAGCTGTTGTGTAGAACATATTAGGTCTCTCTTCCATGGGATATATATATATATATTTTGTTATTCATAGTGTGATTCAATTTGTAACTGCATTTGCTTTTGTTAGATATTAAATACTTTTTGATTTTAACTTGAACCAGCTGATTCGGCCTTGTTTTGCTGACGGACGAAGGAGCAGAGGGGGGGGCTACTTTTCCTTGATGAGAAATTTTGAACAACAATTTGGCGACCCACGACATGATTTCTCTACGATGGCTCTGAAACAGCTAGAGGAGACGGGAATCGACTGACACTTCCGTGGGTGCCCAAAATAATAAGGAATGCAGAGCCTTTTCAATAAAATTCTGCATAGGTAGAAATAGTAAACTTAGGCGGAAGTGTGGGTGATCATCATCTCTGAAAGCTGAATCTGAGTCCCAGAAGTATCCGTCAAAAACATTTTTTATTATTTCAGTCCGATGGACAGATTCACAGACTAGCTTTGCCTAGAGTCACACTGCATACCAGGGGGGGGGGGGGGCTGGACTATGTTGATGTACTGATGGAATTATTGCTGTGGAACAATCTACAACAGGTAAACATCAACAGATGAACATGAAGACATCTTAACATCAAAAATTTGACATCAGAGAAACACTGTCAGGAGAGCAGGGTCGTCCTTCAATCAAAGGATCGGCGGTTTGATGGTGGTCGCATGTCGATGTGTCCTTGGGCAAGACACTTAACCCCAAAATTGCTCCCGTAGCTGTTCCTACGGTGTGTGTGTGTGTATGTTAGTTAGTCCTGATGGTGGGCATGTTAGCCCCTACCATCAGCGTATGAATGGGTGTGAATGGGTGAATGATGACAAGTAGTGTGAAAGCACTTTGGGTTGTCGGAAAGACTAGAAAAGCGCTATACAAGTACAGTCCATTTACTGTCCATCACTGTCAAACAGTGGCGGGCCATGGCATTTTATACCTGGGCCTTCACTGCTGTCATGCAGCTGAAACACCTTATTATGTCCGATCTGATTGGTTGAACACTATGACAATCAACAATATTGTCCCCATTCACTTAAAGTGCAAAGGGATTCACTTGTGAGTCTGCAGGCCTTGGGCCTCTCTTCTTACTTCGAGACACAGAGGTGAAATCTGATTGGATAAAAGCTCTACTTAAAACAAGCTGCAGTGGAAGCAGAGCAACTGAGGAAGAGAGTAGCTGTGCAATGAGAAAATAATATAATGGGAACAATATTTGTATAAATTATAATACATGTAGTATATTTATGAAAAATTATTAAATTATAAAATAGCTATAACTTTGTGATTCTGTCTAGGCCAGCAGAGAAGGCCTTGCTGGCCCTGACGGCCCACTACTGCTGTCAAAACTCACTTTATTTGAGAACCAAGCATCTTGAGGTAAACAGAGTCCACCTCCTATTGTCCTGTGCTTACTTCAGGTCCATCCATCAAGTGCAGCTTCATCCGGGATGGCACGATGGGGCCAAGTCTCTGTAAAGATGTGGCTACAACAGTCACCGACCTCCCATTGATAGGTTAGCCTGCATTTTCCTGTGACTGGATATTAGCCAGGAGCAGATTGGTTGGTGAAATAGCCTTAGGTCCTAGCCGGGTGAGCTTAGCGTTCATCTCGGCTCTCGTCTCTTGCAACTCCGCTTTCAGTGGTGTTTGGTCTGGCAGGTCTGGCTGGGTGGTCGGACGTGTTTGGTGATAGTCTCAAGAATCCCCAAGAATGATTTCAATCCCCACGTTTCTTTCCATCTATTAGTCACTGCCATCTGTAAAATGTCTTTGGCGGCTGAGCAGGAAGCTAACCCCAATGAAGATTCAGGGGAGATGCTGGAATATTTTGACAAAAATAGGGAGTTATTAAGCTAGCTGCAGCTGCAAACAACTTGGGTTTGTTGGGCAATTCGCTGGCATCCCCCCATCTAATCTCTTTGCCAACCATGTTATCGCAGGTCTCACCTCCTTGTCGATCTATCCTGTGATAGCTCTTTGAAACCGAATTTTGCAATGAACCATCCACTAGTCTTTATTATGTATACATTCCTGATAAAATAAGATTGGGGGTGGGCCTCAAGTCTCCAAAGTTTGGAATTTAAAAGTTTCATAATGAAACGAAAATATTTTTACACTTATCAACAAGTGGGTTCTGCGCAGCCTTTCCAGGAGATTCAACTCAATAGGTCAGGGACGGCTGCTTGGTGTGGCAGTATCTCCCTGTAAGACCTCTCCTGCGCTGGCTGGCCCTCGCGGGGCGCATTTCCTCCATTTTGGTGCACCGCGACCAGGTCTCAGTCGGCATGGAAAGGCTTCTTAACGGGACCTTACCATTTCCCGGTGTCGTGGACTTAGTACTCTCTGCAGCCTCTCCCCCTGCAGAGAGGGACGGGGCCTGTTCCTCTTGGCGCAGACTGTCCTGTGCTTCAGGGGTCTGCGGCAATGTCGGCTACCCACCCCACTCATCTTGAAACACGGACCCCATCTCGTTTACCATGCTTTGTGTGTGTGTGACTTTTTTGCCGTGTCATCACTATTCATATCTATAAAACCAATATATTTTTGATTAAATTGTTTATTTGAGCACACCATTTCTAGCCACTTAATTCTGCTCTGAAAGTGCACCAGATTGATGTATTTTAATTTAAAAAGTACAAAATATTCTACCAAGGGAGCTTGCCCTCAAGGTCCACCTAAAAAAACAAATGGCAAGGCAAAATTTGTTTGTTTTCGTAGGGGCTACTTTCTCTTTTGCATTGCCTTGTTGACTTCTCATTGTTGTGGTATTTGTGACTTTGTGTGACAAACTTTCCACACTTTTGCTTTGCCTTTGTGATTAAATACACAAATCAAGGCTTTCTATTAAAATGACTACATTTCAGTCTGAAATCTAACTGTGCTTGTGGCCCCTGACAGTGGCCCCTGACAGTATCATGAATTACCATACAAAATGTACATGAGCAGATGCAACATCACTGTACCTCCACTTGTGTCTTGCATTTCCATGTGCACCAAATCAGGGTCCACATCTACATCAGATACTGACCTGGAAAACGGATGAGAATTACTCAATGTATTAATGACATTTCTGACCAGGGACAATACATTTAATCAGAAATTAGACATAAAACTGGATGGTCCACCTTGAAGGTCAGTCCACCTTAAATGAGCCTGGGCAAACAACTTCAGAGCTAACTCCCTCCACTTTAAACAGCAGATGACAAGCAACACACACCACACTGCTATGTTTATAGCTTTAACGTTACTGCAAACTTCATACTCACCTTCACATACACACAGTCTCTGTCTCTCATTTCTCATCCTTTATTGGTATGACAACATTTTTATTGCTAAAGCATAGGGGAAAAAAAGAATAAATAGCCTTCATCTAATGATATTGACAGTTATAGGATAATTATGATCATTAAAGATAATAAACAAATGTATTTATATGTCTTTCGATAGTGATGTGTGTATACATGTTTAATGTATAGTAGGCTTGTATTAACACACAAACATACTGTATTAAATATACATCTGCCTGTAGAGCAGGGGTGGGCAAACTTTTTGGCTCGGGGGCCACATTGAGTTTTAAAATTTGACAGACGGGCCAGGCCAGTAGCAGATGAATGGAGTGTTTGTGTGAACTAATATGAATTACAAGTAAAAGCCATGACCTAAAAAGTAACATTCATTTAATTTCAGTGGGAACAGGTTAATAACTGTGGTCTTTTTAGCAGTTTGATTCTTTGACCGGATCATACACATATTTGACTGTCACATCTAACATTAACAGAGGTCTGCTCTGTAATGTCTTTTCTTGTCTCTCCCCCGTGTCACGGTGTGGGTACATCTCACTGGCGTCAGGAAACGTATCAGAATACCCTTATTTTATTGGCTAAACTGCATCACGTGACGTGATTCACAACGCATTGGTCGGTGTTATTTCTGCACTGCTGAACAAGTGCCGTAAATGCTGGAAAGGAGCGTGAATAACTCCGCTGCATAAAGCAAAGGGCCGCGACCCACTGAAAACGGGTCCGCGACGAACCACCAGTTGTGAATCACTGGTCTGCAGGATCGTGACGAGCGGTGAACAGCTGTTTGTGTGGCGTGTCTTCCGTCTCTTCCTGTTTCATTCACCTACATTCAAGTGAGCAGTCGAGCGGCAGAGTTCTGAACATATTGGAGTTTGTTGATGATTTTGTTGGGAGAACCGTAGAGGATGCTGTTGCAGTAGCCGAGTCTGGAGGTTATGAGAGCATGGATGAGAATTTCGGTGGTGGCAGAGGACAGGGAGGGTCTGAGGCGTGCAATGTTCCTGAGGTGAAAGAAGGCAGTTTTGGTGATGTGGTTGGCGTGGGGTAGAAAAGAGAGGGTGGGGTCGGGGATGATACCGAGGTTGCGGACCTGGGTGGAGGGGGTGACGATGGAGCCATCAATGTTGAGGGAGAAGGGCTGGGCTGAACGGGTGAGGGAGTTAGGGCCGATGATGAGTATTTCAGGTTTGTTGCAGTTGAGTTTGAGAAAGTTCTGTTGCATCCATGATTTTATATCAGTGAGACAGGTGGTGAGTGTGGAGTGGGTGACGGAGGTGATGGTCTTGGTGGAGAAGTAGAGTTGGGTATCGTCAGCATAGCAGTGGAAGTTGAGACCATGATGACGGATGATTTGTCCAAGGGGAAGGATGTAAATGATGAAGAGGAGGGGACCAAGCACGGAACCTTTGGGGACACCGTGGGTGACTGGGGAGGTGGAGGATTTACAGTTGTTTATTGCAATGAATTGATGTCGGTCTGAGAGGTATGAGGTGAACCAGGAGAGGGCAGTGCCAGTTATGCCAAGGGAGTACTGGAGACGTGAGAGGAGGATGGAGTGGTTGATAGTGTCGAAGGCGGCGCTGAGGTCAAGGAGGATGAGGATGGTGAGGAATCCAGAGTCAGCAGAGAGAAGTATGTCATTTGTGATTTTCAGTAGGGCGGTTTCTGTGTTGTTTTGAACGGAAGCCGGATTGGAAGGGTTCGTAGAGATTATGGAGATTGAGGTGGGACTTGAGTTGTGATGCAACACCTCTCTCGAGGACTTTGGACAGGTAGGGGAGGTTGGAGATGGGCCGGTAGTTGTTGGGGATGTCGGGGTCAAGACCAGGTTTTTTCAGCACGGGGGTGACAGCAGCAATCTTGAGTGTGAGGGGTATGAGACCTGAAGACAGTGAGGAGTTGATAATGTTGGTGATGAGAGAGTAGAGTGTGGGGAGGCAGGCCTTGACTAAGGAAGAGGGGAGGGGGTCAAGGGCACAGGTGGAGGTCTTCATGCTGGAGAGTATAGAGGGCTGCCAGCTGGTTGTGTATTGCAATGATTTTGTCATTGAAGAAGGATAGAAATGAGTTGCATTTGCTGGTGGTGAAGGAGGTGGAGATGGTGTCCATGGGCTTGAGGAGTTTGTTGATGGTGGAGAAAAGCGTTTTGGGGTTGTTGGAGCCAGATTGGATGATGGAGTAGTGAGAGGAGCGAGCAGTGTTCAGGGCATCTTTATATTGTTGTTGGTGGAGTTTGAAGGCATCCAGGTGAACAGTAAGTCCAGTTTTTTTGGCAAGACGTTCCAGTTGACGGCCCTGCACTTTGAGGAGGCGAAGTCGGTCAGTGTACCAGGGGGTGGAGTGGGTGAAGGAGATGAGTTTGGATTTTTTGGGGGCGATGACGTCAAGACAGAAGGAGAGTGCATCATTATAGTACTTGACCAGGGCAGTGGGGGAGGCAGTCGAAATTGGGGCAGATGCGGAGATGTTGGCAGCCAAGGTGGAGGAGAGTGAGGAGATGTTGATAGACTTGATGTTCCGGAATGTTATGGTGCGATTCTGCTTAACATGGGGGGTTAGGGTTAGGGAAGTTGTGGAGTCAGATGAGTCGAAGTGTATATTAAAATCACCAAGTAGCAGTAAATTGTGACTATTCCACCACCACGCCCATGGAGGCGTGGCTTGTCCATGTATGAATATCCAGGGGGTGTAGCTTGGTTGAGTGAAAAGTAGTCCTGTTGGTTTTGCCATGTTTCGGTTAAACAGAGAAAGTCCAGTTTATTGTCAGTTATGAATTCACTGAGTAAGAGGCCCTTGTTGTTTAGGGATCGGGTGTTAAACAGAGCAATTTTGAAATGTGGATGAATTTGGGCAGGCTGGGGTGCTATGGTAAGGGGGCGGAGGCAGGCAACTCGCTCGTGTAGATTGTTGTGGTGATGACGTGCAGGAGTTGCAGCGGTGCGCTCGTCTGACCAGAGGGAGGGGATGGAAAGAGTGGAGCGATCAGGCCAGGAGTAAATAAACTTTCTGCGGGAGGCTCTGTGGATGTACCGGGGCCGACGGAGGAGTCCAAGTGTTTTGATGGCTGAGATAAACGGAGGAGCAGAGAAGTTGTTGAGTTGGAGGAGTTGCGAGGTGGAGTATTGCAGGACCATGCCAGCCTGAGGTCTTTAGTCGGTAGCCATGGACTTGATGACCGGAGTTGGAGAAGTGACAGGATCGCCAGGATAATCCACAACAGGCAGGTGATCGGAGCTGAAAAAGTGGTGATGGATGAGGCGAGGAAACGGAGGAGGCAGTTCAGTCAGCTGCCGACGTTAGCTACACGCTGACTGGAGGGCGGCTAGCTAACAGCTAGCTGAAGAAGCAGCAGTCAGACTGACCGCACCAGGACAGTTGTGAGGCTATCCAGGCAACCCGCCTCAGGGCAGTAGCAAGGAGCGTGGACAAGGGTATCCAGCAGGGAGCTGGCTGGCTCGTCGGTAGCCGCCGGCTAGCGAGAGACCGCCAGCTAGCCAGCTAGTTGTCCAGGGAGTAGACGGTAGCAGTGGAGAGCAGGTGCAGCAGGTAAGCAAACAAATCCAAATCCAAACAAATCCAAGACGAAGCATTGCAGTAGAGTTGAAAACAGAGGATAATGGCTATTTACGATGATTAAACTTAACGACACTGTTAAATAAAACCAAAATGTAGGTTAAATTGTGATTACGGTAGGAAAATCAAACAAAACAAAAACTGCCAGACAGAGCGGCGTTAGACTCGCCAGCGTCCCCCGTGATATATGTTTATGTATGTAATAATATGTAATAATAATTGTTGTGAACAACAATGGAAAGTGAAATGTGATAACAAAAAGAATCTTTAACCAACCAACCTTAACTAATAAACCTCTCCCACAAACTGCTCTAAGGGACCCCTGAGTCACAGGTTGAACTCTCAATTTACCTTGTGCCTTGATAGACTCACTGCATAAAAGACATGCAAACTGATTTATGAAGTATAAGACCCCCGTAACAGCTGAGTCTACTAGGTTTTATGACACCACCTTTCTTGTTTTACGAACATCTACATTCCCGAGGAGCGGAAAAGACACAGAGACACATCCAATTGTGAATAAAAATAAAAATTAAGTAAACTGAGTTGCAAAGTAATATGTACCTTACCTGCTGAGTTCACATATGTTTTGTAATTAGCTTTGAAATGTGGGTTTCGGACCTTCTGTAGACCTCTCTCCAATATTCTGATTCCTTGAGATACAAACTACTTATTATCATATATGCATCTGTTACGTGCCATGTTGTGTTTGTGCTTTCTCTCTGTTTTCCCTCAGTGTCTTCTCGGGTTCCACCCTCTGTCCCGGGTGCAAGCTGCAGCGGCTGATTGGACGCGGCTGCGGACGATCGCGATCAGCGGTGGATAAGAGGAGAGGAGCTCCTGAAGGACAATCTCTTGGGGCAGACCACAGTAGTGAGGCTGTGCGTGTGAGCTGACAACCCTTGGGCAACGCGTAGTGGTGGAGCTGCGTGTGTTGCTGTGGACCATTGGCACCTTTGTTCCAGCCGTGTGGGCTGTTGTGTGTACAGTGTCGCTTTCTGTTGACCAGGAAGTAGTTTTCTTTTGCTGCTGTGCAAGCAGCTAGCCTTATTACAATAAACACTCTTTTTGTTAAACCAGCATCACTGCTCAGTTTCTCTCTCCCCGGGAAATAAACACCGTTACTCCCCGCATCCCCTAGATGTCAAAAAGG